ATAAAAATAGTGGACATAACAACACTTATGCGGAAAAAAATTTTTTTTTTACGAAAAAAAATGCTTCAAAAATAGTAAAAATCAAAATTTTAAGACGCCAATTTTTTTTTATATATAAAAATATGTTTCCTAAAACACTACGGATGGATTTTGAAAAATTATAATTTTTGAGAAAAAAATATTTTTTTTGTTGGTCAAAAAAATTTTTGACCTACTTTCTTTTATGACCATTGAATTCCTTGCAAAAAATTACTGAAAACATAATTTTGTCGATTTTTTAAACTTACATTTTAATATAGTTGAAAATTGGGGTGTACCCTCCCCTTAAGTATTAGCGCGTTCTAACATATTTCGACAAGTTTCAACGAAGGGACGATTTTATCGCAGTCGTAAAGATAAACTCTATTGTTATTATTGACGTCGTCCCCATAGACAAAAAAAAAGGGTACACAAACGGTTAAAGTGCATTCTTACGATATGGGTCATTGTACGGAATGCTCGATAGCAATTATACTGAAAAATATTGATTGCTTAGTCATATCTTAAAATTCGCAAATATCTGTTTAATTAAATCGCGTGCGAGAAGGAAACGGAACGAGAAAAAGAGAGAGAACAATCGGTTATCGGTTACAAACTCGCCAGGAATTCTTAGCGAAGTTCCGAATAAAAATTCAGCCGGGAATGCACCGGTATCCAATCGAACTTGAGTACGTAATCCAAGTAAAACCGTGGGTAGTAAATTAGCCCAATTCGAAGAGTTATGGCACATTAATGCAGTCTTCAGGGTACGATGCCATCGTTCGATTACCCCATTCGATGCGGGATGGTATGCGGTCGTGCGTATTCTTTCACATCCGGTCAATTGGAGGAGTGAGTTAAATATTTGACTTTCGAATTGCTTTCCCTGATCAGTGGTTAAAGTCTTGGGAACACCGTAGCGTGAAATCCAGTGGTCGTAAAATGCACGTGCGACTGTAGGGGCAGAAATATCTGTTAATGGAATAGCCTCAGGCCATCTCGAAAAACGATCTATTATCGTTAAACAATAACGGAAACCCTGGCACGTTGGCAGAGGACCAATTAAGTCCATGTGGACGTGGTCGAAACGTCCGTCCGGAGTTGTAAAATCAGTTGGTAAAAGTTTAACGTGGCGTGATATTTTGGATTGTTGACATTCTAAACAATTTTTAGCTCAACGGGCTATATCTCGATGCATATGTGGCCACACATATTTTTGGCGGATGGTTCGATCCGTTATTTTTGCGCTAGGGTGAGCGGGTGCGTGAAACAGGTCAAAAACTTTGCGCCGAAGTGATAATGGTATATATGGTCTGAATGATTCGCCTGACATTTTGCAATAAATTTGTTAATGCTCTGAGTCCAGTATAAGTTTTGATAATTTCATTGACGTTGTTGTGGATTTTAACAGTTGTGGTAATTGAGAATCATCTTTCTGGAGTTTGGCCAACTCCAATAACTCGATATCACAAGCTAAACGCAGTGATTCGATCCGTGACAAGCTATCTGCTACGATGTTTTCCTGGCCAGTAATGTGAGTGATGCAGGAGGTGAATTGTGAGATAAATGATAGTTGACGTAGCTGTCTCGATGAAGCTTTGTCTGCGCGTTGATTGAACGCGTAAATAAGAGATTTGTGGTCGGTGAGAACTGTAAATTGTCGTCCTTCTAGAGAGTAGCGGAAATATTTAATGGCTTCGTAAATCGCAGTTAATTCGCGGTCATAAGCGCTGTAATTTTTCTGAGTGGGTGTGAACTTCCTCGAAAAGAATGCTAATGGTTCCCACGAATGTCGAGAACGTTGTTCGAGTACTGCGCCCATTGCGAAATCAGATGCATCCGTAGTCACGCGTAGTTGGGCGTTAGGAATAGGGTGTGCTAGTAATGCGGCGTTGATTAAGCTAGCTTTACATTTTTCGAACGCATTTTCCGTTTTGTTTGTCCATTTAATGATGCGTTTGTCGTTCTTGCGTGAGTCTTTGAGGAATGCGTGTAAGGGTGTTTGAGAAGACGCAGCGTTACGCAGATAATTGCGGTAAAAATTAAGCATGCCGAGGAAACGGCGTAAATCTGTGTTGTAGCCCGCGAGTGCTACCACAATTAAGTCTCGCATTTCAGCCTAGCAACGAGCTGGCGGAAATGCAAGATTATTACTGCAAAGCAACCTTTGCATTTCGGCATAGCAACGACTTGCGGAAATGCAAGGCTGCAAATTCCATAACGCGTGCGGACAACGATCACTGATCGAACGCAAGCAATGACCGCACGCACATCGAACAATTAGTAATAAAAAGCAAATCTTGCATTTCGACAGGACAACGAACTGCCGAAATGCAAGAGGACGAAGTCCGCATTGCACACGGCACGAATGCCGCTAGTTCGATGACTCCGCGACGCCTATATATTCGGCGGTCTAAGGACCGGCGAGAGAGTCTTGTCATACATCTAAACGTAACGATACGTTACGCGCGTCGCGAGAACCGAGTCATATTACATCCGCGATAACGAGTGTCGCCGACCGGTCTAAGTCACGAGCGAGGACTTTAACCCGAGTATTATTCTTTTAATTAAATCCAACTATTATAATCAACTACTCGAATTGTAACAATCAAAGTGTAATCTTTTAATCGGGTAATTGTACCAATTCAACAAAGGGTTAAATGTAATCAGTGGTAATAACCACTCGAAATTGTAAGTGTTATAATAAATAAAAGGGGTTATTTTAATAAAAGTGTGGTGCAGTGTGTGTTTGTTCTACGACCTTGACCACTTTCCTTGTTTTCCTCGTGGGTTCCAACCCTTTGAGCGGATCGAATCCCAAAATAATATCTTGTTGCACCGAGAGGTACAACATCTGCAACTGATTTTGGTTCTGGAAAATTTTGGATTGCGTTGACTTTTTCTGTTGATGGTTTGCAGTCCTTGGCGTTAATATGATGTCCTAAGAAGATTAGCTCTGTTGTGCCTATAACGCATTTGTCAGTATTTAACGATAGTCCGAATTCTTTGAGTCTTGAAAGGACTGTACGTAAGTGGTGTTTGTGTTCTGCTGGAGAAGATGATGCGATTAAAATATCGTCTATGTACGAAAAAACAAAATCTAGATCTTTAAGTGCTAGGTTTAAATAGCGCTGAAATGTCTGCGCGGCATTTCGTAATCCGAATGTCATTACTGTGAATTCAAATAATCCAAAAGATGTAATTACCGCTGTTTTCGGTATATGTTCCTCGGCTACGAGAATTTGATTGTAAGCTTTGGATAAATCTAAAGATGAAAATATCTTTTTGCCATGTAGGTTGGCTGAAAAATCGTGCAAATGCGGTACCGGGTATTTGTCAGGCACAGTCACCGCGTTAAGGCGACGGTAATCGCCGCAGATTCTCCATTCGCCCGTTTTCTTGCGGACCATGTGGATAGGACTGGCCCAGGGACTACTGGATGGTCTGCAAATACCGAGTTCGATCATGCGTTTGAATTCTGCTTTAGCCGCTGTTAATTTGTCTAAAGGTAATCGGCGTAGGCGCTCTGCAACCGGGGGGCCGGTCGTGATGATGTGATGATTAACGGCTCTAGGTGTATATGCAAGGTTTTGAGCGATGCCCGTCACTTCCGGAAATTCTCTAAGAATGTGCGCGAACTCAGAAGAATGATCAATGATTGAGATCTTGAATACTGGCGAGGCTGTCAATTTTCCTTTTACTGAAAGAGAGGTGATTTGATCGGTGAGAGTGCGCTCGTGTAGATTGACTGATAGGCGGTATGTTTCAATAGGTCAGCGCCTATTATAGCAAATGGAATATCCGCCACGCAGAAATTCCAGGTTATGGGTCTTCGCAATCCGAGGTTTAACGTTAGACGAAGTGTGCCATAAGTTGTGATGCGTGTGTCATTTGCTGCGTAGAGCTTTAAGTTAGATTGTGTTTTAATATTGGTAGAAGAAACGGGAATAATGGACAATTCCGCGCCGGTGTCGATGAGGAATTTGCGCCCAGTGATTTTATCAAATATGTGGAGACGGTTTTCTGTAACTTTACCTTGACCGACCGTTTCCAACCGGGAAGGTTTTTTTAGTTTTCCTGGGTTGTCTTTCCATCGATCCAATTACACGGCTGTTGACATCGATATGCTTTACTACCAAATTTGCGATGATAGAAACATTTTCTGTCCGTGCTACGAGAGCGGTTACGTCTTCTCATTGAATGACGTGAGTTACCCGGTAAACTAGACCGTGAGCGTGATCTTCTTTTACGAAGCAGAGTGTTCATGCCTTGAACTAGCTGTTCTAAAAGTGACTGTTCGGACGGCTTATTAATGGGACTAGCTTGAGGAGTGTGATCACTTGCCAAATCTTGTGCTTTTGAACTGGTTACCGGAGCTAGTGCGTTGTTTGATGACACTGATTCTGCAATTCTATCCGCTATGGAAGCGAGTTTACTGAGGTCGGGCTCTTCGATCGTTGCTAAAATAGTACGATAACTCTCTGGAAGCTGCTCGATAAACAATGTTTTAATAATACTATCGTTGGCGTTGTCCCCGGCTAAATTTTTAAGTTCTTGTAGTAAATGAGATGGCTTTCTCTCGCCGAGAACCTGTCCTTTCAGTAGCTGACGTAGTTTAGCGCCTTGAGAAATTAAAAAAACATTTAGTACGCGTTCTTTTAAAGTATCGTATTTTCCGCTCGCAGGGGGATTCAAAATTAAATCTTTGATATGGGGAAGAATCGCGGTATCTGCATTCGCTAATATAATGTGAAATTTAGTTGTATCGTCTGTAATTTTCGCTACGTGGAAAGACGCTTCTACGGTAGCAAACCATATTTCCGGATCTTTTGTCCAGAAAGGGGGAATTTTGGGCACTCTGTATGAACTGATTTGACCGAGTGTCTCTTCCGCCATACTAACTGTTGCCGAGAGAAAATAGCAGAGTGCAGCTAGATGGCAGTTACATAGAGCACTCACGAGAGCAGTAGAGCAGGACATACATGGCAGCCAGTCTTACATTTTATATATTCAGTATTCCGTTGTACAGAATAAATTATCACTCTGATAAGCACCGCGTTATTCATTGTACCAGTAACACAGAACATAACAGTGGCGACGAGGATAAAGGTTTGAATAACGGTCATTGCATCGTTCACTTCGTGACTTTGAATCATAACCTTCTCTCGACGATGTCGGATATGAAGGAAGCCCTTTTAGCTTTTATGCAACAACAACAAGCTCAAATTAAGGTACAACAGGAATTTTTTGTCCAACAACAAAATGCCTTTGCTGCTCAACTCTCACAAGCATTCGCTTCAACTATAACCTCAAATAAAGAAATGAAGACGGAATCGCTCGCAAGTGGCATCACGAAATTCGTATACGACTCTGAAAATGGACTAACATTCGACGCTTGGTTCGTTCGTTACGAAGGATTATTTAACGTCGATGCTAGAGACCTTGACGACGCCGCCAAGGTAAGGCTGTTATTGCGCAAATTGAACACTTTGTGTCACAAGCAATACGTTGATTACATTCTTCCCAGTCAACCGAAAGATTTCACTTTAGAAGATACGGTAAAAAAGCTCAAACAAATGTTCGGGAAAAAGATTTCATTGTTTAATCAACGTTATAACTGCATGAACACTGTAAAATCTCCACAGGAAGATTTTGTTGCATACGCAGCTCAGATAAATAAAAAATGCGAAGAATTTCAAATTTCAAAGATAACGGCTAATCAATTTAAATGTTTAATCTTTGTATGTGGATTACGCTCTTCTACAGATGCCGACATCCGCACTAAGCTTCTGAATCTTATAGATTCTAAACCAGATATTCTTTCTTTAGAAGATCTTACTGTGGAATGTCAGCGTCTTCTTAATTTAAAGGCTGATACTTCTTTGGTTCAAAATGCAAAACCACTTAATGTAGTTGCAGTTCAATCTAAACAGAAGCAAAATAAAACTGCAAAATTCATTAAAAACAAGAAGTCACAAAACAATACAAAACAAAATCAAAAACAACCTTCTACATCTTGTTGGTTTTGTGGTCAGCTTCATTATTCCAAGGATTGTAATTTCAAGAATCATCAATGTAAACATTGCAATACCATAGGTCACAAGGACGGTTATTGTAATTTAAGCAAGAAAACAAAGAGCAATTCGTCTAACAACGATTCCATATCCACACATTCAAAAGCTATAACTTCAGCAGTAAATCAAATCAACGAAGCATTTTTACGCAAGTACGTCGACGTCACAATAAATTCCAAAACCGTCAAGCTTCAATTAGACTCGGACATCACAATAATTTCAGAAGATACTTGGAAACTGCTAGGTCAACCGCAAGGTAAACCTTCTGAACGTATCGCAAAGGATGCTTCAGGTAATCCGTTAAACATTTTATATGAAGTCGACTGCACAGTCTTATTAAATAACGATTCACGACAATTACGTTGTTACGTCACTCCAAACACAGAATTGAATCTCTTGGGACTAGATTGGTTACATGCTTCCGATTTATGGCATAACACAATTAACAGTTTCTGTAATCATGTTACTAACCCCCAAATTACAGAATCACGACTTCAAACCTTACAACAAAAATTTCCTAATGTCTTCAGTCCAAAACTAGGATGCTGCACTAAAACAAAAATTTCTCTGCATCTTAAAAACAACGCCAAACCTGCATTCCGACCTAAACGGCCGGCTGCCTATTCAATTCTTCCATTGGTCGACGCAGAACTTGAACGTCTTATGGAAGCAGGAATTATCTCTTCAGTGAGTTACTCGGATTGGGCGGCACCAATTGTCGTCATTCGCAAAAAAAACGATCAAATCCATATATGCGCTGATTTTTCTACTGGTCTAAATGATGCACTGGAACCAAATCGCCATCCATTGCCTCATCCAGATGAGATTTTTTCGAAATTATCAAACTGTAAGTATTTCAGTCAAATCGATTTTTCAGACGCATTCTTGCAAATTCAAGTCGAAGAGGATTCAAAGCACCTATTGACAATAAACACTCATCGAGGCCTCTTCGTATACAATCGCTTACCTTTTGGTGTCACTGTGGCCCCTGGCGAATTTCAAATCATTGTAGACGCCATGATCGCTGGTCTCGACAAGACATTTGCATACATTGATGATTTTGTCGTTGGAGGATCAACAATTGAAGAACATGATCATAATTTAAATGAATTATTCAAACGCATAGACGATTATTCCACGTCCGCATAGAAAAATGTAAATTTTTCGCAACACAAATAACTTATCTAGGATATATAATCGACGGACAAGGATTGCATTCAGATCTAAAAAAAATCTCCACAATTGTTAACATGCCAGCACCTTCGGATCTTACTACATTACGTTCTTTTTTAGGCGCCATAAACTATTATGGACGTTTCATTCCAAACATACATATTTTACGACGACCGCTGGATCAACTTCTAAAAAAGAATTCCAAATGGAATTGGAGCCAATCATGTCAAGAATCATTTGAACGTTTCAAACAAATTCTTCAATCCAAATTGCTTCTCACTCACTTTGATCCGAAGCATGAAATCATTGTAGCCGCTGATGCTTCTCAGTATGGTATTGGCGCTTGTATTCTACACAGATTTCCTGACAACACAGTCAAAGCAATCAGTCACACTGCCAGAAATCTCACAGAAACTGAGAAAAGATACAGTCAAATCGAGAAAGAAGGCCTTGCATTAATATTTGCTGTCACGAAATTTTATAAAATGATTTTTGGACGCAAATTCATTCTTCAGACAGACCATAAGCCTCTAGTGACAATTTTCGGAAGCAAAAAAGACGTACCTGTCTATACTGCAAATCGACTCCAACGTTGGGTACTACAATTACTTACCTACGATTTTGAAATCAAATATGTCAAAACATCTGATTTTGGTCATGCCGATATGTTATCTCGTCTGATCAACAACTATCACAAACCAGAAGAGAATTTTGTCATCGCTTCAGTTACAATGGAGGAAGATATATCAACAGTTTTACAGGATTCATTACAATTCATTCCTTTAACTTTTGATAAAATAAAAGCAGCTACAGGACAAGATGCAATTTTGCAACAGGTTATCGCTTACACAATCTCAAATTGGCCGACATCTGTGGTATCTCATTCAGACCTCAAGCCCTTTTTCAATCGCAAAGATCTCTTTCAGTAGTTCAAAATTGTCTACTATTCAAGGAACGGCTCGTAATTCCGACTCAACATCGAGGATCTATTCTTAGACAATTACATAAAGGCCATCCAGGAATTCAACATATGAAGGCCATCGCACGTTCTTATGTATATTGGCCTGGAATTGACAACGAAATTGAACAGTTCGTCAAGGCTTGTCACAATTGCGCTTTAGCCGCAAAATCTCCAATCAAGGTTCCACTTGCAAGTTGGCATACACCTACAAATCCATGGCAACGTCTCCACGCAGACTATGCTGGACCCCATCAATGGGGAATATTATCTAATCGTTGTCGACGCTTTTTCAAAGTGGCCAGAAATTTATCCAACCAAAACTATATCAGCTCAACGTACTGTTGAAATCATGGAGGATATTTTCGCTCGTTTTGGTATACCGGAAACCCTGGTTACTGATAACGGAACTCAATTTATTTCCGAAAAATTCCAATCATTTTGCCTATCATACGGTATACAGCATCTACGTACACCGCCTTTTCATCCCAGTTCAAATGGCCTAACCGAAAGATTCGTGGATACCTTCAAGAGGGGACTCCAAAAACTTACCGGTGGGGAGAACATCCGTAATCATTTACCTATATTTCTCAAACAGTACAGATCTACTCCTAACGTAAATGTTCCAAATAAGGTCTCTCCTGCCGAGGCACTGATAGGTAGACCTATGCGCACAGTTCTGGATTTACTTAAACCATCCATCCGTCAACAGCCGCAGAAGGACGACATTAAACTACGTCAAGAACAACAATTCAATCGCAAGCACGGAGTAAAATCTAAAGCTTTTGAAGTAGATTCAGAGGTTTACGTCAAGATCTATAACATTAACAAATGGAAATGGATTCCAGGAAAAATAGTAGAACGCATCGGACAAGTTTTATATAACGTAGCAGTTCCGACAAGACAGCGTTTAGTCAGGGCTCACGCAAATCAATTGAGACCCCGTTTCTCTGTTGAAACTAAAGAATCTCCACAGGATGAATATGTAATTGAATAATTACCATTAGACATCTTATTGGGGACTTTCGATCTTCAAGGAGACGAGCAAACAAATACAGAGATGGCAGCTTTACAGTCTCAATCCTCAACTCCGGACATCTCCGACGTTAACAGTCCTACAATTAGCCAAAAGTCTCTTTCAGATTCCCAATCACAGCCACTCAGACGTTCAGTTCGTAAGAGATACCCTCCAAAGCGATACGAGGACGTAGGATGTTTTATAAAAAAAAGAAGGGGAGGTGTTGCCGAGAGAAAATAGCAGAGTGCAGCTAGATGGCAGTTACATAGAGCACTCACGAGAGCAGTAGAGCAGGACATACATGGCCAGTCTTACATTTTATATATTCAGTATTCCGTTGTACAAAATAAATTATCACTCTGATAAACACCGCGTTATTCATTGTACCAGTAACACAGAACATAACACTAACTGTTATCTGAATGATATACGTAGTAATGTTGATGTAAACGCGAGCTTATGTAATAATGCACGGGTGCAAAAGAAAAAGGTGTTATACTAAGCCTTATTGTAAAAACGCAGTATACTATCGCTGGCTGTCTTGCTCGAAGGGCTGTGGATCTGTCGTGGCGAAGCAGCCTGCCGGTGCGGACTCGAAAAATGGCGGTGCGTTGCAAACGGCCTCGTTCGAGAGAGATGCTTATTCGTCGGCGACTTGACTCTTCCCGATATGCCGCGTTTACTATAATTCGCGTGATCGCTTAAGTATGTGATGGATCACGTCGGGGTCACCAGTGTAGGGATTCAGACAGTAGGATTGATATGGTTCAAGCAAATAGGCTGATGAACGTAGAACTATATTTTATTTCTCTCTGGACAAGTATTACTTACTACTTTCGTCTACACTCGAAGTGGAATGGCCAGACCGCCAGTCCTACCAACTTAGTCATAGAAAAAGCGCGCAAGTAACAGATGGGAAACGCTGTAGAATAGATGGGACAAAAGTCCCTATACAGTACACGCTTAGCTGCCATCCAGTGACTCTTGTTGAAGCATGTATTAAATTGACCCAGTATACTGACGGCGTGAGCTATGTCGGGGCGTGTTCCTAGTGCGACGTACATTAAGCTACCGACCAATTCCCTGTATGGATAAGTCTTGTTATAATTTTCTGGCGTTTCGTTGTCCTTAGTCAGCTTAGATCCTGAGGCGAGTGGAGTGTTCACCGGTTTACTATCGTGCATGCCAAATATATTCAAAATCTCTTGCACGTAGCCCTTTTGAGATAGACATAACCGCTCTCCTTCTCGTCGAATTTCGAAGCCTAAACAATGCTTCGCATCGCCAATGTCTTTTATTTTGAAGAATTCCGCCAGTTTCTTCTTAATCTCGCTTTCCCTCGCACGATCTCTGGAAATAATCAAAATATCGTCAACGTATACAAGGACAAAAGTCAGTTTACCTCTGTCTACGTAAACGCATGGATCCGCGATTGTAGGAGTAAGCCCAATGAATTGTAGTTTCTTATCAAGTTCGGCGTGACAACGCCGCGCAGCTTGACGTAAACCGTAGAGAGTTTACATACAGTATCCGATTTTCCCATCTTCTTCAGTAGATAGCTAGCCCGTTTGGATATGTTCGTGCATTTTTCTTGAAGTTCAATTCTTCTCAACATACCGTGTAGTAGCTCTGGCTTCTCCATAAAAATTTCAGTGTCTATTTTTCCGTTTAGGTACGCGGTTTCAACATCAATTTGTGATATATGTAGATCAAATCTCGCGGCCAAAGCCATCATTAGCCGGAAAGATCCTAGGCGTGCCACTGGTGCAAAAGTTTCAGAAAAATCAATGCCTGGTCGTTGAGCGAATCCTCTCGCCACGATACGCGCCTTCCTACGATCCAGACTCCCGTCGGCCGTATATTTATTTCGCAGCACCGTTCGGCATTTAATCACCTTTTTGCTAGCCGGTTTTGCAACGATATCGAAGGTATCGTTTTGAACGAGACTTTTTACTTCCGAGTATATGGCATCCTTCCACTCATTCTTCTCTGGTCCGGAGATGGCCGAATAGAATGGAATTTCGTGAGCATTCATCGCAAATTCAGCGTCGTGCCAGTTTGAGTTTTTATCGTCACTAGTATTGCCTAAGATTTTTGATTCGCGCGTATTCACAACGTCAGATATCATGTTGTACATCTTCGCAGGTCGTCCGGGTTTACCAGTCATGGCCTTACGAGGTCTTCCAGGAGCGCATCGCACTTGAATCTCGTTAATCGATGAAGTGTCGTTCATTTCGCCCTGTTCCTCGAGGTCTTCTCGCAAAGAATCATGATCATTCTGTTGAATCTCGTTTTCGGTCATCGTGTCTTGACGTTCCTTAGAGGTAGTATCTTCTTTTTCAATTTCGATCTCTTGTATCGATCTCATAGGTGAACTCTTCTCGATCCCGAATTCGTTTTTGAATTTCACATCCCGTGTAATGCGGACTTTTCGTTCGGAAGGTATCCAGATGCGATAAGCTTTTGATGTTTCTGCATATCCGATGAATATTCCTTCGATGCCTTTCGGCGCGAACTTGTCTTTGTTCGGAGTTTTCTCTAAGACATGTGCTCCAACTCCGAATTTTTGCATGTAATTTACATTAGATCGTTTGCCCGTCCACATCTCGCACGGAGTCTTCTTACCAAGGACTTTTGTTACACAGCGATTTTTTATGTGATTCGCAGTGTTCACAGCCTCCGCCTAGAATGATTTAGGAAATCCGGATTCATTTAACATGCAACGTGCAGTCTCGATGAGTGTTCTATTTTTCCGTTCTACTGTCCCGTTCTGCTGCGGCGTGTAAGGTGCCGACAGCCGATGTCGGATTCCGAATTGTTTCAGTTATTCTCCATGATGACGTTGCAGAACTCCTTCCCGTTGTCCGACTGCAAAGCTTTGATTTTCTTCCCGGTACATGTTTCCGCATAATTTTTGTATTCCAAAAATCTGGTACTGACTTCCGATTTGTTTTTCAGAAAATAAACGTCCATCAACTATAGTCATCTGTGAATGAATATAACGTGCACTACTCTGTGATTCAGTCCGCATTAGCCCGCACGATCAGTATGTACAATCTCGAGTGGAAATTTTGTACGTTTGTCGCGCTTTGGAAATGGGAGGCTCGTCAATTTTCCTGCAGCGCAAGTATCACAGTCGAAAAATTCGTCAGATGCTTTGAATTTAAGGCCTGTAACCATTTCGTTTCTGAGCATGAAGAACATATCCTTCCAATTAAGATGACCAAGCTTTCGATGCCATTCTTTCGCATCGTTGTGTGCGTTGATCAAAGCAGTACCAGCTGTGTTGCATCCGTCGCGTAAATAGAATAGATTGCCCACTGGATCCGCTACATCTTTACACTTCCGCATGAGTCCTGTACATAAGCCCGATTTTCTGTAAACAAAACCTGATGTCTTTTATCTACAATTTTAGCAACAAACAAAAGATTAGTACGTAATGTCGGCATATATAAAGTGTTCTGCAGAGTAACCGATTTATCCTGCTTGCCGTTGGAAACTGTTATCTGTACGTCACCCTTGGCAACCACGGATGCTGTAGCATCACTAGCCAGATTTATTCCACTGTTAACTTCGTGCGCATTCTTAAAGAGAGCAGAATCTTTACATAAGTGTGGTGTACAGCCACTATCAATACACCATTTGTTGTCTGAGTTTGCATTGAAAATCAACTCGACGGCCGCGTCTTCTTTCACATGAAACGGTTCATCCGCAGCATTTGCATTTTGCGTATCCGCTTTTAATTTGTGAAAACAGTCTTCAATCTTGTGTCCTTTCTTCTTGCAAAAAGCGCATCTAATTTTTACAGGGGGTTTAGACGAAATTTCATTTTTGTCGCTTCTTTTGTTTGCGTTTGTGCCGCTTGCAAAAGTCTTTCTTTTGGATTTCTGTTATTTAGAAAACAAAGCGTTCGATTCAGTTTCCGTCGCTTTATGGACTTTGCTGTCGTGCTCCTCAGTGATTTTTATCATAAGTGTTTCGACATCCTATAAATTGACTCTCGACTTGATAGCGCAACAGAAATTGTCGAAACTACTAGGTAGGCTGTGAAGAAGCATTACTGGCAGTAGATCACCGTTAATTTCGATTTCTAAAGCATGCAGCTTATCAACTATATCCATAAATCGTTACAAGTAATCTCTAATATCATTACCTTCTTGCATTTTCTTCAACAGCAATTGTTCCAGGGGGGTAGCTTTCCTCATCGGTCCTTGTGACGCGTATACGGATTTGAGCTTGTCCCATACCTTTGAAGTTTCGCAATTCCGCAAATGTTTGAGTTGCTCTGGACTCATTGACAATATCAAGTCAGACTTAGCCTTTCTGTCCTGCGTCATCCAAACGTTGAGCGCGGCCTGAGATACTATGAGACTCTCCTGTACCGGTTACGACTGGCTTAGGTATATCTCCATTTACATACGGCCAAGCATCGCTCTTCACGAGAAGTGCCTCTACCTGAATTCTCCACGTATCATAATTATTTTTAGTTAATAGTTCGATACGCGTGGAATTGACGATATTCGTGGTTGCCATAATAGAAGGACAATATTGCCACTTACTTGAATTGTACGATAATATATTAGAGGTCGGAGAGGACTCACGTATCGCTTGCGCGCTGGGCTTGCTTTTTGTTTCAACGTTTTCGTTTTTCACAAGCTCTGAGTCCATAACCTGTTAGAGTGCACAGGATATTTTGGATATCAGGCGTGAATTAATCGATTAAGATTTGTACGAGAACATTGAAGAGCTTTTAATATAATTGATGCACAGCATTAATATAACGATACACAACTTTCTTATAATAAGAAGAATGTAATACAAAAAGAATGTCGTAGAAGAGCATCCGGCACAACGGACAAAGAATTGCGTAATGTGACGGTTTATATTTTTGAGTAATTAGAACATACGAGAATATGACGGTACAGCGCAACAAGCGCTACGGACAGTATTGAAACTGCTAAGTAATGTGAGAGTACTTG